GTGTGCCCAGGTAGAAGGTCAAAGGAGCAAGAGGAAGAAGAAGAAGAGAGAGAGGCGTGCCTTCCTCCCCTTTTTATAGACCTTGGCAGGAGGTCCCGAAGACAGGAAAAGGGGAGTGGGAATAGGACAGGTGTACGCCCCTTTCATTCAGGCTTGTACCTGGTTTAGGGTTTCAGATCTCCACCCCCCAGGGGCAGCAGGTTTCAAACCATTACAGAAGTGTTGTCTCTCCTGGCCAGGTGCAGATGTGAACTGCCAGGCCAAGGACAGGGCCACCCCCCTGCTGATCGCCGCGCAGGAGGGGCACACCGAGTGCGTGGAGCTGCTCTTGGCCACGGGGGCAGACCCCAACCTCTACTGCAACGAGGACTGCTGGCAGCTCCCCATCCACGCAGCAGCAGAGATGGGCCACAAGAAGTAGGTGGTGAGAGAAACGTTCAGATGGATGATCCTGGTTTAAAAAAAAGAAACCCTAGCTTCCCTCTTTGTCAGTTCAGCCCCATCAGGAGGAAGAATCAAGCTCTCAAGCTGATTCATGGTTTAGGATTCCTAATTCTTGTCATATTTGAAATGGCTTTTAGTAGTCCCAGTGAGGTGAACATCATCTAACCTGGATCTGCCCCCTATCCTCATGAGTTTAAAGGGTGTTCCACAGTGCTGAATCAGATACTAATTCACTCAATAGCCATATTCTTTCAACGTTTTGAACTATAAATAACAGTAACACATGCTTTATACATGACTTGAGCAGTTCTTAATTAGAATTACAGTTCTGACAGTTAAGTATCAGAAGCAATCACGTGCACCTCATGAATTTGCTGAACCAGCTGGAAAATTGAAGCCAAAACCCAATTCCTTCAATCCTTCTAGAAATGCATCTGTAGCTTTCCCCAGTCCCAGTGATCTAAGTGGCTGTAACAGCAGAAAACCAAGAGCAGAAGGATGTTCCCAGAGCAGCAGGTGGTTGCAGAGAAGCACCTCACAGGAACCCTGTGATTTGCACGTGTATGGCAGCACTTCAAATCAGATATATTAATGATGATACTAACTGCAAAATCATCAGTAGGTGGTTGATCTTAACCCCTAGCAAAAGGAGATCAGGACTGGAAATGTCTTTAAATCAAATGCTGCCTTCATAGCTTTTGCAACAATACATACTGGAAATGTCTTTAAATCAAATGCTGCCTTCATAGGTTTTGCAACAATACATAACTGGCCACCTCTGTGCAGTACCACTAAGTTCCAGTAGCAAATAAATTGCTCTTTGTCACCAATCTGTGTCAGCTGGAAGGAATGTAGAGGTGTGAGCTATGAAACAGGATGATTTTTCTGTTTCAGTATCTCAGTGAGTGTTTCTGAACATTTTGTTTGCAACCTATATTTTTTAGTTTGCTTCCAGACTTTGTAGAAGTATGGATTTAATGTGCAGAGGTGCTCTGTGGCTGTAAGGAGGTTTGTTAGATGGTAGGAAATATCTCTCTCTGGATTAAAGTATTTATTGCCAGCCTGAACCTGTGCCAAAGCCCAGCATTTGTGGTGGAATGATAAAGGTTGTTCTTTTGTATGAAAACTCAATGAAAAAACAGTATTTTCATCTTAATTTCTAATGACCATATGAAAAATGAGTGTATGTTAACAATTCATAATTGCATAAGATCACAAAATAGTGTTTTTCAAAATTTGCAGGATATTAGAGCTGCTGATACCAGTTACTGACAGGACCTGTGACAGAGGCAAAGGCAAAGTGAGCCCTGTCTATTCAGCAGTCTATGGGGGTCATGAGGAGTGTTTGGCCATGTTACTCAGAGAAGGCTACAGCCCAGATGCTCAGGAGTGCCTTAATTTCAAATGCAGATCACCCATGTGTATGGTCTTCCAGAAGGAGTAAGTAAACCTCTTACTTTTTGAAGCTATTCATAATTATGTTGGCTTTTATTTAGCTTTTTCTAAATGGGTGGTTTTCCTGCCCTCCTCCCCCAGTTTTTGGGTAACAGAGTTAAGACAGTTAATGACAGAGTTAACTGTAAGTATCTAAATGATGTCTGGGGTTTGGATTGTGTGCACAAGCTGAAGAACATCCTGGAAATATCCAAAGGGAAGATAGCTCTTTGAAGAAGAGTCTTGTAGAACATAATAGCAGTTTTTGTGCTTTCAGAAGGCCTTATTGACACATCTCCCATCTTCTGGGAGCATCACTTGATGCTGTAATTGGATCAGAAGGACTCCTAGGTAGCCAGATTGTTTTCAGGAAGGAATGAGTTCTTGGAAAACAATGTTTTCCTTTTCCATCTGGTTCACAAGACAAGCAGAATGAGTTATCTCAACCCTGCAGCTGCAAGGAGGGCTGGGAAACTAGGAGATGCATGGGTTTAGATAGTGAGCCATTTCTTTTTCTGCCCAGGGAGTGATGTGTGCCCGTGGTGTTCACCAGGAAATCAAACAGCACTTACTTCATAATGCAAAGGCTGTAATTTTGGAGGAAAAAATAAAAAAGCTATCAAAGCCTTACTCCTAAGTGTGTGTGTAGATACATAGTATGCCAGTAAGGTGCTCTTCACATCCTTATTGTTGGGTTGGGTTTTTTGTGCTTTTAGTAGAGGTCTCTTCTTCCTTTTTCTGTGGGAGTTCAATTCCTGGAGGAGTGGGCTGTTACTGTGAAAGATCTAGATGCTGCTGTCCCCAGGCTTGCTTTGTTCTCCTCACAGACTAACCCAACGTATGAAATATCATCCAAAGGATTAAATACTGGCACAGCTAACATCTAGATGGAGAATCACATCTCAGTGGCAGCCCTGAGCTTTGTGTAGAGCTGTACTGTCATGGTTTAAGAATTTAATGGAGTTGAGAGCAGTTACCTGGTAACTGCTTCATGCCTTAGAACAACAGAGGAAATTCATGTGATAGAGAATACATTTGGAAACTTTTTTGTTTTTCCTTCATCTGATTGTCTGTCATTTATTTTTTTTCCAGAATTCTGGTTAGTTCATCCTTTGTAGATCCTCCTCCTCAGGAATATTAATGCCAAGTAATATTGTGAGCCTCCTGTGCCTGCATTAAGGAAAATCTCTTCATTAAAGGCTTTAAAATCATCTTAAAACTGAGCTCTAACACAATATTTCATGTACATGGATCAAATTGTATGGCTTGTGTGCTGCCATTTAAATTAAGGAGGTTTTGGTAGTAATGGGTGTAGCTCATCATAATTAAAAAGCAATTTATCCAGCAGGTGAAGAATCTTAGCTTTTGGGAGTCATAATTTCAGTTTCTCATTCTTGCCTCTTACCTTCCACATGACACCTGCTAGAATTTCTTTCATTTAAGGAAGGAAAATCAAAATATGCAATAATTTAACCGTTCTTGAACTTCTGAAATC